AATGTAAAAATAAACTATTATATATATATAAAAAAAAGAACTAATGCTCATGATGGAAATACCAAACTTAAGTCTTAGGTTCATGAAGACAAAAAGTGGCTTGATGGCCTTTAATCACTTTAGACTGCACCAAGGAGACTCTGAAAGCTAGATGGAAGAGTATAGATTGAGCTAAGATGCCAGAACATTCATTTTCACAGGCTCAGGAGCCAATGGAAGTGCTTACCAAAGTAGGCACTGAGGATAGAGGGGCAGACTACCACATGCAACTACCCAAGTGTTTAACCATTAGAACTGACACTGGGACGACTCCCTGGTGGCACAGGGGTTAAGTCTGAGCACTACCAAGCACGAGTTCAATCCCTAGGTGGCCAGGGAGCTGAGGCACATGGTACAGCAGACCTCTCTCATCTTGGCTGCTGGTATCCTCAGCAGTGTATTTTAGTACATTTGCTTGTTCTGCTCCCCACTCTGTCTCTGGTGAATTCTCTCACTTCCAACCCCTCTGGCCTGTACCCCAGTTGTTGTATGCATAAATGAATCTTTATGAACTGTGTCCAGAGGGCTTCTCAACAAGCCTTTTTACTCACATCTCAGTTCTGTCAGCATAGTCTGCTATAATGTAAAATGGGAAATACTGCCTGTTTTAAAGTGTTGCTGTGAGGATTAATATACTCAGTGAGCATGTCTATTATACAGTTGGTGCTATGTCATGTGCCATTTTCTATCTAGTATTAAACTTAATACAACTAATTCCTGTGGCAAGGAAGGAGATAAAAAGTGGTGCATGTGAGTCAGAAGGACAAAGGACAGTAGTCAAGACAAAAGAAATGAAGTAATGAAAGGTTAGCTCCACTGGCCTCCAGCATCCCAAGGCCAACCCTCTTATTTTTTACCTTGATAAAAACAAAGCACAAAGTGAGATTTCAATCTTTTGCTCTTGCCTGCAGGGAGGACAGAGATCCAACTTAACATGGCATAATAAGCCAGCAAGCCAGAATATAGATTGGAATCAGAACAACACTGGGAGACAGCAGAGAATTCTGAAAGCTACTCAAAATACAAAAGCATGTTCCATGTTCTTTAGGACAAATGCCTGACCCCAGCACGTACTGGGTGTTGCCATACTTGCAACACAGACAGGGAACACCCATGTTTTGGACAAGTTCCTCCTGTTCTTTGGGTGGTGAGTGTAAAGTGGCACTTCCAAGTTTTATAGTATCATCGACAAATGCCAAAAGGGTCTTCCCAACTAGCATCTGAGTCATATGCATTCAAAAAGGTCATTTAGAATACCAAATGACCTAATTTCCATCTCCCTTCCTCCCCAGCAAGGTGTTTTGATTCTCCCCTCTTTGCCAGAAGGTAGATTGTGACCCAATGTTGAAACACACACAACTGTCTCCAATGACTTAGATTTAATCATCGGAAGCGAACTAAATGGAAAGCTTACAATAGAGAAGAATTACGTGTCAGTGCCTTTTGCAAACTGAGCTGGGACAGAAAGAGACCGGGGGCTGTCTCTCAACCTGATCCCTTCCAAACAAAGACATCCACAGTGTCCTTGACAGTCTGGCTCAGGGAGAGAGAGACTCTGCTGGCTCCGTGTGTTGAGGTCGCCTAGTCACCACTCATTCCTGGCCAGCATCAGGAGCGCCGCCTTGCCGGCTCTGGTCATCACCTTTCTTTTTGTGACCCGAGACGATGTCATCAATCCGCAACAGCAGAACTGCAGTCTAGGAGAAAAACCACAGCCCCAAAGAGGTGAGAAGAGAACACTGTTTCCTTTTAACTTACCATTTAGTTCCTCTCACAGAATTACCATATTATCTGAAATCTACCTTTTCAGAGCCTTGAAATATAAAAAATGCAGTTCTTCCTAAGCAAAGGATATAGCTTATGCTATGTTACCTTGCTTTTTTACATGAGCTAAAGATAGGCAGGGGTGGTGGTGGGGTTCCTTGGGAGACCTCTGGGGAATATGTTCCCTTTATACCTCACCCCTTTAAGATTAGATCAAACACATTAGTTTCTGGCTATCTCAAAATAAATAGCAAACGACCCAGGGTGCCTCACCTCCACCGCTGTTTTATATGTTTGGAGCTTCACCGCCAGTGGCTCCCAGATGCCCAATTCTTTCATATCCACTAAAGTACCTGTTTCACCATTTACACCCCAGGTCTCACAATTCTCTTGGGTGTGCTTAGCCTGTAAATAAGCATACATAGTTAAAGGAGAAGATACTCAGAACAAGTAAACTGGTAAATCTAAAAACCTAATCTAAAATTACTAGAGGGCCCTCCCTGGTGGTGCAACGGGTTAAAGCCGAGCACTGCAAGCTGGCCACAGTCACTTCAGTGTGAGTTTGATCCCCGGCCCCAGAGGTGACCCACACGGCACAGCAGACCTCTCCGACCCACCCGCTACTCCCCTCAGCAGTTTACTTTGTTGATTTCCCTATTCTGTTCCCCACACTGTCTCTGGTGAATCCATGTATCACCCCTGTACCTCTGGCCTGTACCCCAGTTCTGTATGCATAAATAAATCAATCTAAAAAAAAAAAAAAAAACACCTCAAGAGAAATAAAATTACTGGATTGGGGACTCCCTGGTAGCCTAGGGGCTAACACTCAGCACTATCATCACTACAGCTTGAGTTTGATCCCCAGCCAGGGAGGTGACCCACATAAGGTGTAGTAGACCTCTTGTCTTGCCCGCTGTACCCCTCAGCAGTGCATTTCAGTAGATCTGCCTGTTCTGCTCCCCACTCTGTCTCAGGTAAAGCCTCTCACCCCCTGTCACCTCTGGTCTATACTCTAGTTCTTCTATGTAAAATACTTTATCCCTGAAAAATGCAAAAATAAATAAATAAGATCACTTGATTAGAAAGGAACAGGTAAGAGGAAAGACAGCAAACAAAAAACATATATATAAGAAACTGTAAGGAAATAAGCTGTGAGGAGAACCTAAACACATAGAAGTGAACCCTTCTCTTAGGTCAGATAAGGACATCCCTAACCCAAGAGCATGGAAAGGAACTTACCCGGAGGGAGGTAAGTAGACGGATGGTGCTAGCCCCACAGTTCTGGATCAGGGTGCGAGGGATGACCTCTAGGGCCTGGGCAACAGCCCTGTATGGCCACTGTTCCACACCAGTCATAGCCTTGGATTTTTCTGTCAAGGCATGGGCCACAGCCATCTCAGAGGCCCCACCTCCTGGCACCAGCTGAGGATCCAGGAGAACATTACGGCACACTTGCATGGCATCTTGGAGGTTTCGCTCTACTTCCTTGGGAAAGTAAACAGCATGAAATCAAACTTTGATGACTCAAGGATAAAGAGGTGCCCGAAGACTCCCTGACTGCCAGATTTAGTCAACCACCAAAGGAAGGTAACTAAGAAAGATCACTACAACCCCTACCAGCTGAGCAGATGTTCTTTAGCTATGACTGCAACAGGGAGGGACAAAGGTGTCACCTGGTGAAAGTTCTGTTTTGACCATTATGCTGGATAAGAGATATACCTTACTTCATCTTGTTCCACTTGTGTCTTTTCAGAAGCTACATGGTTTAATGAAAACTCTTACATATTAGTTATGTGCTTTACGTTAAGTCATTTAAGTTCCACTCAGAAACAAGCAGTTATGTGTCCCTTCAACCTAAAACACAAGGAAGCAGTGGTTGCTTGGACTAGGAAAATGATGAGTTATTCATTGTTCAATATAGGTATCATGTCTCAGCTTTTCAAGATGAAAAAGTTCTGGAGAGCTAGTGCACAAGAATGTGAATATGCTAAAAATGGCCAAAAAGGGTAGATTTATTGTTATTATTTTTAACAATTCAAAATAAAGTTTTAGAAAGTAGGCCACAGAGTCCTCCCTGGTGCTGCAATGGGTTAAAGCGCAGCACTATGAAGTTATCAGCACCACTGCTCAGTTCTATCCCCAGCCAGGGAGGCGACCCACATGGCGCAGCAGACCTCTCCCGTTGCTCCTGCTGCCCCCTCAGCAGTGTGTTTCAGTCCATCTGCCTGTTCTGCTCCCTATTCTGTGTCTGGTGAATCCTCTCCCCTGCCCCAAAACCTCTGGCCTGTTCCCCAGTTTTTCTATGCATAAATAAATCTTTAAAAAAAAAAGAAGAAAGTAAGTAGGCTACAAATCCAAATTAAATACCTGCAAATGGGCAGTAGGAGTCTGGGAAACTCAAGAAATGTAATGACTTATCTCATTTAGTCACATTTCCAAGCTTGACTCACCGAAAGAATCTCTTTGCTAGCTCCCCGGAGGAGAATGGTGCAGGCCTTGGGATCTTTGCACTCAGTGATGAAAGTAAAGTATTCATCTCCAATTTTCTTGATTTCCATTAAGCCTGCTCCTGTGCCAACATCTTCTTCTCTTAATTCCTCTGGTCGGCTGACTATGCGGGCCCCACAGGCTCTATGGTGGGGGTGAGGGGTAGGGGAAGAGAATTAGATGCCAGAAATTGAACCCAGCTCCTCAGTGACTAGAGCCTTATCTTCTAAGGGCAAAGTAGACTGCCATAAATATTTCTGTATCACCAAGAAGATCGTGCCTTCCTAATGAAATAATTTTCAAACACATAAAAGTGAAATTTCCCCAAACTGTAACAAATTAGAACCTGGATAAATGAGTTATGATGTCTATCTAAGGTGTATATCACCAAACACTCATTTCTAGAAAATACTGCTGTTAGATTTTGAGGTCAAAGTTAGGACTGCACCAAAAATATAAACATCAAGCAAGAAGGATGAATGAACATGTAAGCTTATGTTTGACTCAATTTTAATGAACACAGGGCTAATTTCTTATTTTTCACCCATTTATACAGGTACAGTAAACTCAGCTATGCATTAATGCACAGAGCTATTCAGCACAAGTATAAAATTCAACTGGTATCTAATGGCGGAGTACATTTACTATCTTTTTAAACACACTAAAAACAGATGGTATCTGAGCAACATCAATGGCAAAGTAGTTACAATGGAATTTAATGTTGCATTAACAGCAGCTGAAGACCCAATCAAAGAACTCTGATGATTTTGGTACAGTCTGAGTCAGTTAAAAGACTACTCTGGGGCCCTCCCTGGTGACACATCATGAAGCTACCACACATAAACACATGGGAAGAAAGAGCTTACTTTCCCCTGGCCTACTCACCTAGCAATGCGATTATTGTCCGTCTTCCGGACTCTTCGGATAGCCGTGATATTGGCCCGCATGAGGTAGTGCTGAGCTAAATCTGCAAACCAAGAGTAGAGGTGTCAAGTTGGAAGCCAAAACTCCAGGGTTCTGAACTGGTTTTATCCCCCAGGGTACTCAGAACCATTTATGTATAGTCTATGCCATCACGGGGAACCAACTATCCTCTTCTATTTCAAACACAGGCTGGAAAAATGGAATCCTACCTGAAATCCCCTTTTCTGTGATGACGACATCAGGCTTTAGGTGAATAATGTCCTCACAGAGCTGTTGAATGTACTCCTCTTCCATTTGAAGAATTCGGGTGAAGTCTTCCTCTCGTGTGATCTCAATGTCAGTCTGTGTGAAGAAAGGTGACCCTGATTTCAAAATCTTTAATGGGTGGAGTCATCCCAACAATGACATTTCTTCCACCCAATTCTCCTCTCATGTATCCCAGAAGCACAAGTCAGAATAATGTTAAACATTTAAAATCATGACTCCACATCTCTGGCAGTTCAACACAATCATGTAGCTTTAACCCCTCATTTAGTTAAGAAAACGAAGTTTGGGGCCTCCCTACTGGCACAATGGTTTAGTTAAAACACAGCTCTATGAAGCTATCTGCAGCCATTGCAGCACAAGTTCAAGCTCTGACCAGGGCGCTGACCCACACGGTGCAGGACACCTCTGCTGTCTAACCCGCTGCTTTCCTCAGCAGTGTATTTCAGTACATCTGCGCATTCTGTTCTTCACTGTCTCTGGTGAATCCTTTCACACCCCCCATGCTTCTGGCCTATCCTCCAGTTCTTGTATGCACAAATACATCTTAAAAACTAAACAAAACAGGACCCTTCCTGGTGGCGCTGCAGGTTAATGCACAGCACTAAGAAGCTAAAGGCACTTCAGCATGAGTTGAACCCCGTCCTAGAGGTGATCCACATAGTGTGGCAGACCTCTCCTGACCCACCCGCTGCTCCCCTCAGCAGTATATTTCGAGATCTGCCTGTTCTGCTCCCCACTGTCTCTGGTGAAGCCTCTCGCCGCCCCTGAGCCACTGGCCTATACCCCAGTTCTGTATGCATAAATAAATCTTAAAAAAAAAAAAAAACTAAACAAAACAAAATGAAAAATGGAGTTCATACTCTCAAAGCAATCAGTAGGGTTTATCTTAAGGCCTCTGATCACCCAGTTAAACAATACCTTGGCTGTCCTGTTAGTACACAGTATAATTCTCCTCCCCAATTAAACTGATTCTTAGTCCCAATTCTTAACAGCTTTCAATTATTTACTTTTCCTAAGGGTGGAGTCTTGCATGCTTCTTGCCACCTCCCCCGAAATTTTCCTTTAGTAATTCAAGTGAGTGTAAGGCTAAATTATCCCCTACTCTGTATTCTATTGATGCATTAGGAAAGGTGCAGTAGTATGGTTGGGTTTAGACCCTGATTTGGTCAATACCATCTGCATTTTTCAAGCAATTAACCTCAGCTTCAGATTTCCTCAAATGTAAAGTCATTATAGTTGCTTTATTTAAAGAGCTGTTGTAAGAATCAGAGACTATATTCAGTAATCCACACAGCATAAAATAAACATCTTTTATTTACCTTGTGCATACCGCAGTATGTTATTACGTAACTTTTAAGGAATAGGACAGGAGTCTTACCTGGCTTTCTCCTTTCTTGTATTCCAGAGAAGAGTCCAGCAGCACAATGCGAGGGTTCTTGATGTAGCGTCGCATTCGTGGATGGGTCACGTCTTTGTTAATCATGACACCACGTAAGACACATGAGTCTTCAATGATGCCTCCAGGTATCTGAATGATAGATGCATTTGAATCCATAATCGAGACAATTTATCAACTTCCTTTCTTTATGTTCACCTTTTCCCAAATAATCACTATTTTCAGGTTTCTAAAGTTGTCTTTTCCCACAAACCTCAAAAAATATAGTTCTCACCAATCTAGTAAGACAATAATCAACTTGAAGGTCAGCTAGACAGACAGAAATTTAATGACCAATAGATTTAAAGAGGCTCATTTCACACCTACCTCCCATAGAATTTTAGGTGTGGGGCTCCATCTACTGGCCACAAACTACACTGATACTTTTCCATCTGTGTGTTTTCTGGAGCCTTTAAGCAGTCCACTGTGGAAATGCTGTTTATATTTTGACCAGTTGATAAGCAAGCAAATGCACAAACATGGAGATGCCAATATGCCTACCCCAAGTACTTGTAACTCCTGTGTAGCAAAAATTATTTCAGATGAAAGCCAAAATTACTTCACTATTGTTCCTAGGGTCCCTTTTTCTGAAGTGGTTTTTAGGCAGCAATTATTGTTCTTCCTACTTTGAACTACAGATATCTTGCTTTGACTTACGCTAAGAAATAATTTGTACACAAGCACACACTGGAGCTTACTTTTTCCACCCTGGCATACTTCTTGATATCAATCTCCTTTCGGCCATTCTCCTCAAACTGTACAGTTTTGACAGCATCTAGGGCAATGTTGCAAGCCAAAGAGGACCATCTACTGATTGCTTTGGTAGTAATAGAGCTGTTGATGATGTTCAGCATCGTATCTCGGTTATTGACGTCAACAGGGGAACTGGAGAAAAGAAAAAAAGGGTAGTATGTTTTGTAGGGATCTTGGGTATTTAAAGAAATCTTAGTCTATCTCTCAACGATTTTATTAGCAGGCCAAGATACAGAGCCACAGGAAACTGTTCATTTGTAGGGAACTAAAAATGATGTCAGGAAGTAATCTTGTACATTCGTTACCTTTTACCAAGATGATAACTAACTCATCTCTGGAAGGTGTCTCAAGTCCTTGGGTGGCCTGTTCCCATGTTGACAACTCTTCAGAGCACATCTAGTAAGCTATATATTGTGTGCCACACATTATTTCCTGTTTTAGGGTTAGTCTCTCTTAAAGATTACATGTACTTGTACAGGGAGACTTGGTGGTGCAAAGGGTGGAGCACAGAATCATGAAATTATCTGCAGCCACTGCAGCATAAGTTGGATCCCCGGCCAGTGAGGTGACCCACATGGGCAGAGCAGACCTCTCCTGTCTTACTCACTGCTCTCCTCAGCAGTATATTTCAGCAGAACCTGCCTGTTCTGTTTCCCACTCTGTCTCTGGTGGGTCCTCACCCTCTGCATCTCTGGCTTACACTCCAGTTCTGTTATGCATAGATATATCTTAAAAAGTTACATATTTCTATGATGACGATTTAGCATAGTTACAGACCAATGTCAGGTTTTTGATTAGATGGAATGCAAAAGAGAATTTTCAGGCCCCAGTCCTTTTGATTTTAATATTTTTAAGGACTTATTTATGCATATGAGAGCTGGGTGTAGGCCACAGGTGCTGGGAGGTGGGGGCACACAGGTGGTGAGAGGATTCACCAGAGTCAGGATAGGAAGCAGAACAGGTAGAGCCTCTGGATTACACTGCTGAGGGTGAGAAGAGGTCTGTTGCGCCACATGGGGATCGAACTCCATTGGGGACTGAACTTGAGCTGCAGGGGTTGCAGATAGCTTCATAGTACTGAGACTTAACCCCTTGTGCCACCAGGGAGGCCCTCCATTGATCTTATTTATTTTTAAAGATTTATTTATGCATACAGAACTGGGGTATATACAGACCAGAGGTGTGGGGGCAGTGAGAGGATTCATCAAAGACAGTGGAGAGAGCAGAACAGGCAGACTGAGTGAGATGTACTGCTGAGGGGAGCAGCAGGCAGGCTGGCGTCTACCACACCATGTGGGTCACCTCCTTGGTCGGGGATTGAACTCGTGAAGTGGCTGTTGATAACTTCGCTGTGCTGCGCTTTAACCTGTTGTGGTACCATAGAGGGCCCCTCCCCCTATTGATTTTAATGGAAAATTTCTGACTACTACATTCACTTTAAGAGCACTGAAGTAGAAATAACCATACATGATGTCTGAATATTGTATCACTGAGCCCTGAATTTAGATATTTTGCTAAATCAGAACCTAAAAATCTTAGGAAATATGTTTATTTTATTTACATTTCCCACGGCAGTGCCTAATGGAAAAACTTGCAGATAGCGTGTAACCAAATGTATTTTAAAAAAAATTGATCATAGCTCCTTTCATGTCTTTTTTTAAAAAAAGATTTATCTTTATTTATTTATGCATAAAAGAACTGGGGTGTAGGCGAGAGGAGCAGCAAAGGAGGGTGAGAGGATTCCACAGAGACAGAGTGGGGAGCAGAACAGGAGAATCCACTGAGCTACATTGCTGAAAGGAGCATCGGGAGACAGAAGTCTGCTGTGCCATGTAGGTTAGCTCCCTGGCCAGGGATGAAACTCATGCCATAGTGGCTGGTGATAGCTTTAACCCCTGCACCACTAGGAAAGCCCTATATTTGTCTGTTCTGTATCCTTTCTCATTTTATGAAACTTTCATTTTCCTATGGTTTTAATTTTGCTCTTTGTTTCTCCTTCTTACAAAAATAACACTAGGTTACAAACCCTTCTATTACTGTGTGACTTATCTGGTCTTCTTTCACCACCTAAAATACATCTCTCTTCCAGGCCTCCCATATTTCATACTACCTCTTTTAGGGCTCCCAGTACCTGATTTTCTTAAGGGTGCTGATCATATCATCCAATGCCTTACGGTAAGCACTGATCACCACTGTTGGGTGCATCTGCTGCTCTAGGAAGTGTTCAGCAACGGACAGCATTTCCCCTGCTAAAAAAGGATACAAACACCTTGTTTTAAAAAGGTACTTAGGTATCAAGACAACATCACGATGCTTTTAAATATACCACATTTTTTTTTTCTAAAATAGACTCACCCAAAAGATGTGCCATTAGTTAATGTTATTTCACATTTTATGTACATCAATTCATCAAAGAAAAATATCCTTATCACATACACACACACATATATTTATATTTTATTACTTACATTTTAAGAGGACAGGTTTATTAGGAAAAGGAGAAAGGGAATAATAAGAGGTACCTGCATAGACATGGTTAGGCTGAGAGCTGTTGCTACTAAAGGCAGGTAGAAGAGCTGATCAGACAGGTTTTATCTTATTTTTTAAAGACATTCATTTATTCATTGAGTAGAGGCCAAAGGTGGAGGGTGAGAGGATTCACCAGATAGACTGGGGAGCAAAACAGGTGGATCTACTAAAATACACTGCTGAGGGAAGCAGTGAGTGAGACGGGAGAGGTCTGCTGTGCCATGTGGGTCATCTCCCTGGCCGGGGAGCGAACTCGTGCTGCTGCGGCTGAGGATAGCTTCACAGTGCTGAGCTTGTTAACCCCTTGCACCACCAGGAAGGCCCCTACTCAGATATATTTTAAATTATCAAAAGAATGATCCTAAAATTTAATTAACCTCTTGAGCTAACTAAATACTTGCTATCAGTTTTCTAAACAAATAGAAAGTAGTTTTCAAAAAACAGTGATAAAAACATACAAGGGGAAAAAGACTTGTTTGCTATTATCTAAACATCTAAAATACAGTTAAAACTGCTGGTAATAAAAATAAACACCTTATACCTAAAAGAATACTTACAGAAATGTACAAAATTTATCCATCTTCTAGATGAGGAATAATTTTAAAAGGCTCCTTTTAAAAGTTATCATTTTTTTTATCAGTACCCATGCAAAATGCATGTATAGACATATAAACAAGTTTTGTTTCTAAAAATTTAGAAATGCCCATTTTTTTGTACAACAAAGAAATCACACAAATTGCTTGTATTACCTGTCCACTGACACTATTTTAAAAACTGAATTATAGGCCCTTCCTGGTGGAACAACAGATTAAAGCACAGCACTAACAAGCGAAAGGCATTTCAACATGAGTTCAATTCCCACCGGCCCCGGAGGTGATCCACATGGTGTGGCAGTGGTCTCCTGACCTGTCCGCTGCTCCCCTCAGCAGTGTACTTCGTCCATCTGCCTGTTCTGCCCCCAACTCTGTCTCTGGTGAATCCTCTCACCGCCCCTGCAACTCTGGCCTGCACCCCAGTTCTGTATGCATAAATAATAATTTTTTAAATTATCTTTAAAAACTGAATTATAACTAACACATATTAATTTCAAGTGTATCACATAATGATTTGGTATCTGCATATTTTGTTAAATGATCAGCATCAGTTTAGTTTAGTTAACCTCTATTACCACAAAGGTTAAATATTTTTTCATGACAGGCCCTTCCTGGTGGTACAATGGGTTAAAGCACAGCGCTTAAGAAGCTCTCCGAAGCCACTCTAGCACGAGTTCTATCGCCAGCCAGGGAACTGACCCACATGGCCCAGCAGACCTCTCCTGTCTTGCCCACTGCTCCCCTCAAGTGTATTTCAGTACAGCTGCCTGTTCTGCTCCCCTGTGTCTCTGATGGAATCCTCTCACTTCCTGCACCTCTGGCCTATACCCCAGTTCTTGTATGCATTAATAAATCTTAAAAAGAGTATTTTTACATTAAGAACTTCTAATATCTGCTTTCTTAGCAACTTTAAAATATGGCCTTATGAACTAGTAGCTACACTGTACTGACACTAATTTTTAAAACTTACACAAATGGGCCCTCCCTGGTGGCGCAGCGGGTTAAAGCACAGCACTGAGAATCTAAAGCTGCTTCTGCATGAGTTCGACTCCCGCCTGCCCCGGAGGTGACCACATGGCGTGGCAGACCTCTCCTGAGGGGAGC